GTCAACATCTTTGTTCGGGGGGCGCTAGCCAGGAGCCATTAAACCTGAAACACAAATGGGAAGAGCCACCAACATAGGGCTGGGTAGCTCAGTTGGTAGAGCACTAATACAGTGTTCCAAAGGCTGCAGGTTCAAATCCTGCCCCAGTCAATTTCTTTGTTCATCCTTATAATCAAAATAAATACTTGATAGCATATCTGGTGTCCGATTCATCCTTGGGGGAGTATTCTTCTTGGTGTCTCATCCAATACTGGAGGATGGACCTACCACCCCACCACCAGGGGCAACCTTCATGTACATGTACATTTAGGTTGTCGCACTATGATAACTTTGTCTAATCAACGAAAGCAAAAATGCACAGTGTATATTGAAATACATTTCTTTAAAATGTAAGTTTCAATGTACGTGTAGGCCTTACATATTTTACGTGCATACACTTTTAGAAAAAATTTCATTGAAAAGTAAGCTTATTGCATAATTTTAATTCATCCTTCCATGTGTGAGGGCACAAACATTTTGTTCAGGTAGTAAGAAAATGCTGTAACGAATATGTCTTTTCTAAGCCTCTGCACTTTTCCCCGCATGCTCAGTTGTCAATTGAGTCGCATGCTTAGAACTGTACGCGCATGCCCACATCAACCAAAAAGGACCATTGTGTCTGCCACAATCAAGTCTTCCATTCAAAGAAAACTATACTTTTTATTTTATTACTTTGTAAGTATCCATACATCTAACTGGGATTTGAACCTATGCTGTTAAGAAACTTTTAGACGTAGAAATACGGCAGTTTGAGTGACTGCGCAACACGAGCGCTTGTTGACAGAGAGAGTCAGTGTGTTCTGCATTAAGTTATGGTTAAATTAAGGCAGGGTCAACATGATATTATCATTATGATGAATATTTAGCAATAGTAAAATATATTCATGATAATGAATATTAAAATATTAAATATCTATGATTATTTAATATTCATATTTAGTCAGGTATGAATATTCATTGTCCCTGTGCCCGACACCTGTCAAGCGCACATGCACTATGTTCTACATTACTTGAAAATGGCTACTGTCATGGTGACTACTGCAATGAAGTGCGTGTGCCAAGTACAGCCTAAAAGTCACTTTTCAGACACCCAGCCCCACTTTTCCCCAGCCACTGGTAGATTTCGAGTTAACTGGGTAGTGTATATGGTAAGTCATTGGGGGGAAAGTTTCTTTGATTTGTGGCATTGTCTGGACAGTATATGGAACTCTTGCCAAATTCCCCACACAGACATATCACTTGAGTCCCTGTGCACAAATCCTATTTCAATAACTCAAAGTCACTACTCTGTCATACTCTGTGTGACTTTCAGCAAATGTAGTTTACAAGGAGTCGTAATGCTATGGTATGAGAGGTGAATGATCCACAGGTGAAACAAAGCTATTCAATCAAATTTTCCTGTGACAGCAAATCTGAGTAACTGAAAGCTCTTAAAAAGGTTTGAATGAGGATTTCAGAACACAAGACTAAGTATTTTTTGAAAAACTCGGATTTTTACTTGCCATGAGGAAGGGACATGAAAACAACTAGGGTTACCCATCTCCTGAATCCACTCTGAACGCCAGGAAATATCAAATAGCAATACAAGGGTGTAGGGCATTTCAAAACTGTCAAGGTTTTTTTTTATGTAAACTGATGCAAAGCTAAGAGTAGGCATGGAGCACATAGTGAGAACAGCATGGAACGGGCTGCTTCCACTTCTGTCTGTACACAAGGCCGTACTGGGCTACAATGTATCCTAGTATAGTTTGATATTCCTGACTCTTTTAGGACACATTATTGCTTTCTTACGGCTGATATACCACTAGGGAAACATTTGTGATGTCCATATATAGAACTATTGCCAAATACTGGTACTTTTAGCTTCATTAATAAAAGGCCTACATGTTCATGTACATGCTGTTGAACCTTTTTGAAGAATTTCATGTTATAAAATTTTGTATGAAATTCAGAAAACAGTGATGTCTGGAAATTAGGCACAATTCAGCTGAATGTTCCCTAGCATTCATGTTTTCAAGAAGGTTGAAAATATGGAAACCACCATGCGACTCGTCAAAACCAGTCAAGGGGAACAAATTGCTTGATCTCAACGCTTTACGCTATGGAACTTTAATGTGTGGAGGCGGGTCGATGCCAGATTTTGCAAATTCTACTCAATATACTGACTTATAATGTCAGTTTGCAAGCTTGCTTAGTGACATTAAACTCTGCGGAGGATTTTGTGCAGATTTCTTTATGATCAGGACAGAAAAAAAAGTCTCTTGGTCCTTAATCATGACAAGTAGTACAGACAGGACAGGTTTCTTTCTTGTTTTTTGATTGAGGCAGAACACGCCAAACCCTTCTAGCTTTCTTACCTTATGGTCATCACGAATTTTCCCAATCCTTGGATTGTGCAAATGTCATTTCAAATCCAATTTAAATCTGATTTGAATGGTATACTTTACCTTGTACATTGTAGATGTGACTCTGAGGACTCATGCTGATTTACAGCTGAAAGTTCAGGATTTGGCCTTGTTTATTGGGTACAGTAAACACTACAAGAATAGGCAATAGAGAAGTTGGCAATGTAAGCTGAATGACTAGCATGACTTGTGAACTACTTCTATCACTTAAAGCTTGATATATATAATAATAATTCCCAGGTGCATTGCAGTCATTTACTAATGGAGTGGCAACTGCAGAGAAGCCAATGAATTTGCAGACTTTCATCCTCTTGGGCAAAACTGAACTTCAGGCCAAATTGGCAAAACCTGGGACTGCCTGTAAGTGGCACAAGGAAAGAGTTGACAGCACTGGCATTTTAAGCTTAGACTCTGAAATCTCAAGTTTTCTTCACAAATGATTAACAGCAATATCTGGGATAAAATATGAAGATATTTATTTATATTTAGACTTGTACAATGTAACACTTCAACCTAGGTGATTTTTGAGGGGGTGGTAATGCATGAAAACATATAAACTTAAAAGGAAAAGATAGAAATACAAATTTAAGTTATTAAAAAACAGCAACATTAAATCTATGCAATTTGAGTAAAAGCAAAACTTAAAAGGAATGACCTACATTTATAACTGGTAGAGATAGTTGAAAATCAACAAAGCAGTGAAAATCACCACACTTAAGAAACAAGATCAGTTGAGTAGGAATTGATTATACATGTACAAAACACTACTAACAAAAGCACGCGTACATTGCAGAAGATCTAAATTAAGTTAGCAATAAGTTGTTCATTTAAAAGAACAGTTACTTCTCATCGATGGAGTACAATTACCTAATCCATTTAGATCTGAATTCTAGCTAGGAAGAAGAAATTGATGACAGAACCAAATGGCAGTGCACCATGATTTTGGACATTCATGAGTTTCCTCAAACACTAACATAGACAAGGCACTAACATAGACAAGGCAAACCTTCAAAAATGATTACCTTGTGATTATCAAGAGAGTGAGGCATTGAACTACTTCTCATTAGACTTGCTCTTTGAAATTTTGTCATGTCGGTGATAATTCTGTTTGGCTCTTTCTGAAAAAGTCGATGTTGACTGTCTACAGTTCTTAATAACGAGCCATTATATTTATGATGGGTCTATGTCACAAGTCAGTGATATTTTACGCCCCCTATTTGTTTAAAGTAGAGTCTCCAAATGCATTTTGCCAAGTTAAAGCTAATTTCCTTTGTTTCTTTATGCAAAGTTAGGTGTGGCAGTGCATTGCTCACACCTCCACATGTTCACAGATACAGGAAACTTGAACAGTTACTTGTTTGCATAATAGTACCAGCTCACTGAGGCATTGATTTCTTCAATTCTCATCATCCTCTACAATTATTTCAAGCCTACATGTGCATGTTGTATAGGAAACATGCACGTTGGGAGAAGGCATTTTTTTCATGAGAAATGCAGAGAGCCCTATGTGCTGTTGCAAACAGAAAAAGTAGTTCTCATTCTTCTTGTTCTCGCCAAAGCCCATTCACTTTGCACACGTTTCTTCCATCCGGGACTTCAGTCTCTGCATTTTTGCATCTTCATCAAATTTATAGTGGACGTCTTGATTACGTTGTGGTGAAATTTAATATCATACATGCAATTTTGAACATCTATGTGTTTTAGCTCATGTACCTGTACTTTATACACAGTTTTTTAAAGGGCTATTTTTGGTCACTTAGTAACTTAATACATGTATTAACATCACGGTATCATTGACTTCCGAAAATACTTCACTTTTGTATGGATGACATCAACTTTGTGTCTTGGTATGGGTATACCAATACATTTCCAATATGATTTTCGTGATAAATTCACATGCATGGTGTACATGTACAATTACATGTGAGGCATAACGTGATGTAGATGCTTGATAGCCGATGCCTGACAATGGAAGCACAACATTAGGTGCACCGCTGTCAATGCACAATGATGGATTGTATGATGGTTGATAGACAGTGGAGGGGTAGTGTGTGATGCATGGTCATTGACAGTAGACAAACAAGGTTTGATATGTGAACGGGTGATGTTTTTAGGAGCACATCTGGAATTCCATACCAAATACGATACATGTAACACTGCATGCACTGAATGTTAATCATTATTATTCTAAATAGGGGAAATCATTGAAAGGCAGCCATTATAGACTACATGTAATTATAAGAGGAGGTACATGTATAATTACTATGGTGGCACCACACTCAAATGTGCATTCTTAAATGGAATCCATGTAAATGAAAGTATTCATGGATAGTGTTCAATCAAACAGAGCAGTATATCCAGTGTCATCTTACTGGTACTTCATTTTTGTGAATCGGCACAAAACTGCCTGGAATGTCATGCAGTGAATAAATGCTACCCACATGAGACACTCTAGTACTGGTACCAAGATCATGTTGTAAATTGCAATTGACACTAATGCAACAACAAACCCAACCATACTTTAAAAAATTTGTCTTTCTCTTTTTTCTTTTGCAGAATTTCCCACTTATTCATGAATGCATCATTCAACTTCGGCGACCAAAGATTGTTGCACACAACTGTTGATGAAGAAGAAGTAGCTAAATTCAGGAGTCTGGTTCAATCTTGGTGGGATGTGAATGGTGAATTTCAGGCACTTCATAGTCTGAATGATCTCCGTGTTCCTCTGATAAGGGATGGACTAGTCAAACGGAATGGTTGCCAGTCTCTACTTTCATCACAACCTCTTGCTGATACATTCATCTTGGATGTTGGCTGTGGAGGAGGTATTCTCTCAGAGGTGAGTCTATAATGAGAGTAAAATTTGTGTGCCTCAAACCTGTCTTTAATACTTGGGTTATCATTTGATTCAGCGATTACCCTCACTGTACATTTACACAAGCTGATACACTGTAATTGTACATTGTCATTGTCTCCACAAAGTAAATCACACATACAGGGTGCGTTTGAGTGAGCTACCTGCGTTAACAAGAGCGCATGAACGGCAGGAGAAGGCCATGTGGATCAGCGAGAGTATACTCCCTGTCATGCAGGAGTATACACCTGGCCTGAGAGTAATGCGCATGCATCCTCACTCATGTTGACAGGAGTAACAGCGTGAACGCACCCACATTGTACATGTACCATACCTGTTTAGGTACTGTATGTGCACACTGTAAAAACAGCGTAATGAATCATTTTGGTTTCATGAACTGACACTCGGGAGGTTATGTGCTCTTTACACACTGAACTGAAGATGATGATTTGGTTTTATGAACTGATGCATCACACTAAGAAAATTCATTGAAATTTATAAAGGAACAAAAGTCATGAAAAAGTCTGGGGAATCGAGAATACTAATTTATTTTTTATTTTTGAATCAGAATGTACAATGTATATGCATCTACATGTAGGTCTGAGAAGAACAAGAATCCACGCAGAGACAGGAATATGCATTACGCTGTAAGAGATTGACATTCATGGGCCAATAGCAAAATTAGTCAAGCACTACATGTGGCTATTCAGCCAGTAAGAAACTTCATCATGTACGAAGGGCACTCCAATTAGATATAAGGATATTCTCACCATTTTCGTGAAGAGAGAAAAGTTTTGCCGGAGTGTAGTTTTCCGAGAAAATCGCATTGGAAGTTGGTCTCTTTTTCAAACGTTTATTTCCCCAGTATTTAACATTTCTTGACTTGACCAATGCTACATGTACTTCCTGGAAGAAGGGATCTTAAATGAAACAAAGCTACAAAATAATATTTATAGAGGTCAATTAAATTTGTTTACTTTTTAAACAAACACTTTTGTCTTTTGAAAATGCTGAAATTCTCGTGACTTGTGTCTCTGTGTGAATATGGCATACACAGTACAGGTGTTTGCCATAGTGCATGCCTAGTGCAAAATTGTTCCATTTGTATCTGTTTCCAGAGTCAGCTGTGTCTCTTCGTGAAAACTGTAAAATGGGTTTTGCTTATGGTTTGAGGCTATGTTGCTAACACTTTACCTACATGTATGGAAGACAACTTTGTTTCTTCGTGAAAACAGAAAATGCAGTTTAGTTGAACTTTGCCCTTTGGTTGATTTCAGTAGATTAGGTAAAAAGTGATTACACCAGGATGTAGGCATCATGCACATGTAGCTTAGTTCATCTCAGCTTCTGACATTCTGCAGCCCCACAGGCCTGGGCGTGGGATGCCCTGCACGGTTTTTTTTAAAGGTCTTCTGGCTTACGCCTTCGCTTCGATATCGCTCATTCTGATGGTGCTTCTGAAAATAGAACAGGACAATAGCCATTTCCTCCTCATTGCCCCATTCTAGCCAAGGCAGGTGATCAACTCGGCAATCCACCACCTCCAGGGAATGTTCATCGAATGTCCTCCATCCAAGCCACTCATTCCTTCGTGGTTCTTGGGTGATGTTCTCCTGCTCCTGGCCGGCCTTCCCTTTGAGCCAGAGAGCCATGCCTCCCTCCTTCACTAAAGGACATGTATCAAGCTTGCAGTCCTACTGGCTGTTGTTATATCTCATCTGAGCAGTGAAATTAGGGCCCTCTCCGTAGCTTATGGCCATATCTGATGGGAGCCACTTGGTGTGCATCTAGTTCCGTAGTTAGGCTTCCTTACTAAGAATTATACTCCCTCCTTCCGGCCTCTGGACATGTTTGTTGCAGCAATGCAGTCGTTGGCAACCTCCTCTTCAGATAAACTCCGGTGTCCTGTCCGAACGCTGAAGTGGACGGACATCTGGGGGCCTGTCTCACAGCTGTTCATCACATCTACCAGGCCCTGTTGCCCAGTTTCTAGAGACACTATTGTGCTTTGGATGGTTTGGACTATTAAATTGACTGACCTACTAGCCCAGATGACCATGTAGATATTTGTGCCCATGATCCTGATGATGCCCGGGCCATTTCCTCATCCTGTGCTTATTTCAAGGGGGTTTCAGCAGCCTCAGGTCCACCCATAGAATCTTGACACAGTTCCTGCCTAAACAGTCTAAATGTACATGTAGTCAGTTTACCGGTTCATGTACGTATACATGTGCATGCATCTTTTCGTTGATCGAAGCCAGGTTAACTGAGACAAGCTTTACTGACTTGTTTGTTAAAGAATTCATCTGTCTGGGGGTTTGGTGGAAAAATCGTAAGGCCAACTCGAAAATACATACATGTACATGTAGGATATTAACTTGAGCTCAAAAAGTCAACTCGAAACTCAAAAAACCAACCCCAAAAGTCAACTCAAAATTCAAAGAAAAGAAAACCTCCAAAGACTGTATAAGGAAGTGTCCAGTAGTTAACTGAGATGAGGGGACATGTGATCACTTTAGAATGCAACAGGAATATATTGATGCAGAATCAGTGTCTTAGCTAGGCACTGCATATAGGCTTGAGTAACATACCAAACCCTGGTAATTGAAAGCGCTCACAAGTGTTCACGGATGAAAGTAAAATTCCAATTTTGAGATTTGTGGGTGTGCCAGAATACTTTTAGCAGGTTAATCATAATGTGGAATCACTATAAATGTACACATGTAGCTGTACATTGTAGGTGTGGCAGTACTTGCTGGTTTAAAATCACGCATTATAATTTCACATTTTTGTATTTTCAAATTACCATATTACTATTTTCAGTAATAGGTTCCTGTAATAAATTGTTCTTAGACACACTTTTTATGCATCTTTACACTCTTCTAAAACTATTTGACATCCTCATGGGTGAACACTGTTACAAAAAAATTCACATCTTCACATTTAAAATTATCCAACTTTTTTGGACAAGTGAGGATGCTGTTGCTACAGTGTGAGTCGGGAAAGACACTAATATGTTTTTCTGTTTAAATTGTGAGTTGTGATCTTAAAATGTGGTTGGTGAAAAAATGTATGAAATTGTTTCATTGTTGTCTTAGTGACACAGCCACACAGCTACATGTATGTTTGCCTGACTAGCATAGGGCTACTACCTCGAACCGCACAACACTCTGTTGCCCATAACATGTGTCGGAGCACACAACAATTCGTGGTCAGTGTCGCACGACAGTGAGTGGTCAGGACAGGAAGCAAGATAGCAAGAGTTGGGAAATCCTTGCCTTTCATAGAGAATTCAGATTTCTCGTATCATAAATGTACATGTACATGTAACTCTTTAGAGGAATATCCAATGAGGATTACCCTGCCACTGTCTGTAAGCAGCGTGTGTGCAAATACAGCATACATGTACGTAATGCGAAATGACACAACACTGGTGCAGGCTGGCTATGGTGCATGACGGAAGTGTCTCCCGCCCACATGGCAGGAGGGCGGAGCAAGAGCAGAGTGGCGACATGCGGGGCAGGTCAATCATTCTATGCATATTCATGATGGTCGCAAGGGTCAACTGCGATGCACAACTGCATTCAATAGCTTTATGCACACCGATGCTACAGTGATGAAGAAAACTCTTAGGCATAAGTGCAACATAGAATGAATAACAGTAATTCAGAGATATGCGACAATACTTTTGTAAGCTGTTCACATCAACTTAAAATATGTACGCAAAAGTTTACAAAAGAACTCATGTGTAATGTACTTGGTCTGGGTTTTCAGCAATTGAAATTTTTCTCTGCTTCACATACCGGTACATTAAAAACCTGTATGCATTGCTCTTGACCCTTATTGTTTATGACTTATCCACACAGCCATTAGCACGACTTGGTGCAACAGTCATTGGTATTGATGCTGCCTCAGAGAACATACAGGTGGCTCGGGAGCATGCTTCCCATGATCGCCTACTATGGAAGAGAATAAATTACATCTGTGCAACAGCAGAAGAATTATTGAGCACAAATGGAGAAGCATTTGATGCAGTTATTGCTTCAGAGGTACTTGAGCATGTCTCTAATGTTGAGGGCCTTGTTGCAACATGTTCACAGTTAACTAAGGTGAGTCACTGTATGAAGTTGTATGCATTAAGAGCCAAGTGCTGAGTTAAATCAAGTAATTAATTCAACTATTTGACCTTCCAGTTGATGGAATATTCCAATTTCGGTGATACTGGATGGCAGATTGTTTTATGAACAAGGCCACAACAGAGGCAGTTTTATTAATGCACAGAACTGCATGTTTTAATCACAAGAATAGTTTTTTCGACTGTTGCCAGCAATGATAGAGAAAAGATTTGAATCTATGCACCAGTAAGAAACCCATTGTCCTCTGTGAACAAATTGTTGATTTTCTTATGAAAAGTGCACATTGCTCCCACTCCTGTATTATGCCACTATAACAAACACTGCTATACTGAAAAATTGGGTATATACCAAATATGCCACTTGGCTCCTGAATTTTCGGTGCACTGTCACTGAATATTGAAATTTTACTTCAAACACAAGACACATATTCAGTACTGAATATAATGACTCTAAAGATGAGGAAAGTCTTACAAAGGAATAATGGTGTCAACATGTGGCGCAATCCGTGTCATTCATACTATGGCGCCAACCGACTTTCACCTTGGTTGCCCCGGCCTCCCGACCAACCCTTCTAGGGGTGTGCATTTGCGGGTATTTTTAGAACCGGGTACCCGTTTTTT